TAAAAAGGGTCTCCGGTTCTCTACACTCACCATACGAAACACAGCAGTGTTAAACTGCTATTTTACGCTGGTATTCTGTGAGAGCGTGGTCCTTCCCCGGTCGAGCCGACCCATTCGTGCTACAACTATACTACTAATATAGCTGCAGCATGGCTCTACCACGTATATACGAGAAGCATAGAGCATAAGAATAAAATATCGGGGACACGATGTATAAAGTCATAAAAGTTGCGCTTTGAGCATGTTGGTTGGTTTTATATCCATAAACAATATTAGACGTAACTTAAATTAAATTTACATGGGGAAAAACCTACGCTTAACTGCCCCGCGGGGTCCAGGACGGGTTATGTCGTACTCGCAAGGACTAAAACCTCATGTTGTTGCACCTTCGCCGCATATTCGTAGTTAGTTAGGAAAGTCATGTACTCATAAGCACCAACTTTCCCTTGGCTGCGGAGAGTAGGGAGACGGGCGAGGCGCCATGCAATACCGACACTAATCTCCCTCTGCAGCCTCACCAGCACCGCATCAACGGCGCAGCCCCGCCAGAGTCACGGAGGATAGGGAGAGTGGCGCATCGCTATACCAACACCCCTCTTCCCCCGCGACTCCATCTCGGCTGCAACGGGAATGGGGAAAGGACACCCCTCCCGACATAGTCCACTAACGTGCATCCGGAGTCTTCTAGGCAATGCCATTTGGAGCGGCCACCTTGGGCCGGCCTTACAACTTGGGCCACCCAAGTGGATCGCTCTTTGATCATTGTCTCTGTTAATCAAAGCTGAGGGTGATAGGTCGGCATAGATACTTATCCAAGCACCCATGCCCGAAAAGCACCTGCACCACCCGAATGGTCAGTAACCCGTGCCGCCTGTTCATCTAGTCTGGCAGTATCGTCGAACATCCTCAACAGTCCTGCTTCCAGCCTTCGGGTGTAGTCATGGGTTACTCGTCTATTTTGTTTGATGACGAGGGAATACCTCATTTTTCCTCGCGAGGTACTCATGAGCTAATAGAATAAATATTTTCCAAAAAAATGTTACTAACCTAATTTTTAAGATCTCTTTTTTATGCTACTATAAATGTTATGGACAAAAGTGTGAAATAAATCAATTTTATTTTTTATTTTATTATTTAAAAAAAACATGAAAATATGTATAATATTTAATTAAACTCCTTAAACACAGTAATATTTTTTCATAAATAGTAAAATCTTAATAGTAGTAGGCTTAATTAATATATCCATTTTGCTTTGTAGGTATGTAATTTATTTTAAATTTATTGCTTTACATTGTCGGCCCTAAACCGCAGAAAGCACGACTAAAATTACCTTGTTGTGGTTTAGGATAAAAAATTTCAGCTTTGTACGTAACATTGTACAAAATGTTAAAATGTACAAAGGCGTTTTACCTTATTCGGACAAAGGTAGCCGTCGTAACTGTCTGGCTATTTGTTTAAGCTAATCTTAAAAAAGAGCCAAAGAGATGACCGTGGGATTAAAATAGTTTGAGGTAGTAAATTTTGAGTACTTTAAATAAAATAATATGTTTATACATGCAAGCATTTCAGTTTTCCAATATGAATAGTTTGTAGAAAAGTAGTACATTACATAGTTAATGCGAATTATTTATTTTCAAGCATTGCTGTGTTCGAATAAGGATATGTTGTAACTTACTCAATATTTTTATATCGCATGCAATTTCAAATACGAAAATGGGTAATTAAAATAAACTTTAGCGACAATCACCATATTTCAGATCTGATAACAAATGATTTCTGTTTTTTTTTTTATAGGATAAGGGTAACAAACGAGCACACAGTCCATCTGATGGTAAGTGGTTGCTGCGGCCCATAGACATCTACATCTATCCTCTGTTACAAATCAAAACGTAGATGCGTTGTCACCCGTGAGAACTAAGATGGAATGCCTTATTTCCAGTAAAAAGGGCCTCCGGCCACCTGCACTCACCAAGCGAAACGCAGAGGTAAACCTTTACTTCACGCTGGTTTTCTGTGAGGTCGTGGTACTACCCCGGTTCGAGCCGGCCCATCCGTGCGACAGCAAAAGCTGCCGCGTGGCTCTACCACTGTTAAGGTGAAGTTTTCCTCTTTTTCAAATTATTTACAAAATTGAAGTGAAAAAGGAGATAATAGTCCACTAGGAACTGCTGCTCATCAGCATGATATAGCAACATCAAACAAATAATATCACAGTTATTTCCCGAAGACAATAATCAGCCTCATATCATAGCTATTCGAATCTGACTTTATTCTGCCGTAAGCCATTCCTAAGACAAGAATGGGTTAGTAATTTTAAAAGCATTTTACTGTTATTCTTTAAAATAAACTTAAACGCCATAAAATATAAAAGCGTTGGTGCCATACATTTTTTTAAGTTTGTTGTAACAGAATATCTCGAAGAAATACTTCGAAGTTACACGTCGCCCAATTGTCTGTGAAATATGTAAGGACTCTGCATTATAGTGAAATAACTACGTTTTAATTATTTACGTTTATTAATGTTGCAGTCACAAGCCCCTTAACAAAATAAGGAATAGAGCGTCACAAACCGAATAAGCAAATCTGATTTGTGTTGTCTTTGTTTGTTTCGAACTAGCGTTTCCTTTAGTAACTATGTTGATTTTATGTCGTGCGCCTTACCTGGAATCTTAGTCGTTTCCTTGCCAAATTTATGTTTGGTAACTACTTCACTTTGTAGTTACAAATTCATGAACGTAGTGCTCTTTACAAGTATCAAGTTGTTTGATGTTATTTCTGTCGAAATTCAAATACAAAGGAAGCATTGCCAGAAACACTGCTTTAAAATAATAACCGATTTTAAATATAAAAAATCAGAATCAAAATGAATTTAAGCGTCAGTAGCCTAATGGCAGGGCGCGGACCGCGAACTCCAAAGGTCGTGGGTTCGAATCCACCATTTGACTACTGTCGTAAACCAATTCTAACACAAGCATTTTAAGCTTACCAGAAGTGGTTAAAGGTAATATTAGTAATGATTAATAACATTACTAGTATTTAAAAAAAAATCAGAATTCTCATACAATTTAAAGGCGCATTTTGCATTATTTGCATTATTTTCCTATTTTAAAAAACCCTTAGGATATTATCTTCATATGATAATTTATTCAAGTAATAGTTGCGGTGCAAAAAAGTAAAACAACAAACAACTCGTATCATTCGTTCCATTATTACTGAATCCCTATTCAAACTTCTAACGTCTCTCGAAGAAGTTCTTGTGGGTTAGATCCTATTTGTGTAACTACGTCAAGTAATTATATCCATACCACCCATCCATCCATTACAGCTTGTAATATTCCACTGCTGAACATGGGCATATATTATTGTCTCATAGGAGTAATTTTGCAACAGTTGCCATGCTTGGCAGGCGGGTTGGTAGCTGCAGTTTTTTTTATAATTTTGAGTTGATATAAGGAAGATATGGCTGTCCATCTGTTTCAATTTTACTCCGTCGCCTCTTATGACACGCACGGGACGATATGGTGTAGTGGATATTCTTATTACGCCCCTACACCCTACTATATAACCGTCATTTTCATTCCAGGATTTTATGATCGAATCTTTTATTTGTAAATTATGCACATCTTATTTTTTTATGCAATTCCAACGACCTTGTATTTTCATTCGTTCTGGTATGTTATCGTCCTACATAAAAAAATTCATGGCAAAATGCCTACGCATACCCACCTCGCAGGGGCAAGGACGGGTGATGCGTTGGTATCATACGGACTAAAACCCCATGGTGTGTTGGAACGCTTTCGCACAAATCCGCGGCTCCACCAGAGCCGACCGCTCCATGGCGGCCCTTCCTCGGGACAATTCTACTCCTCCCCCATCTCGTCCTCAGATAAGGCGCATCGGAACACATGACTTAACGCTTTCTCCGCGGCCCCCAACTTCACCTGGGCAATGGACGCTCCCGGGTCCAATGCGCGAAGGCCATGGGGACAGTTGTAACGAACACTCTAACATCTTGCCTCATTTACAATCTGGGTTTCGCAAAGGACGTGGCACAGCGACTGCTTTACTCGATGTCACAGACAACATATTAGCTGAACAAGTTTCGGTCACAGTACGATTCTAACGCTATAAGACTATTCGCGCGCTTTCGACTGCCTAAATATATGCTTATATTACCCCTGCTGCTTGCTAAACTGTCATATTATGGTTAGACAAAAATTCGGTCAAATAGTTCAGTAGTTACTTGATTAATCGGTGCCAGTCATTAAAATTGATAAAGAGTTATGGGTCTAATGTACGTTCTCACCCTAGGCTTATTAATCGTGGTGTTCCTCAGGGTTTAATACAGATTCAGATATATCATATATATACAGGGTCAGATTTGAAAATTATGTCCTTAATATGGTAAAAAACTGTTTTTATCGTCAAATAAATACCATATCCGTGACCAACTATTTGTACCGTCACGCATTACTCTTTGCGGAGATGTTGTTTATGGACCTCGAATTTTCAACAAAACAAAGCGACTAACACAGCACGTGCAAAATGCATGTTGTCGGTTCTGTTTTGATGTCTCCTTTCTTGAACACTGCTTCCATGCTCAACATGGACTCATGTAGAGAGCTACATTTAGGAGGGCTTATTTTTAATGCTATTAAGCTTAAAAAACCAAAGTACCTGCATGTAAAGATAAAGTTTGCTAAGCAAAATTCTGGAAAACTATTAAGGTCCATAAGATCAGCACTCCTGTATCACAGCCATAAAACAGCGGCATTTACTGGTAATTTCTGATATATGGCAACGAAGTGTTGGAATAACATCCAACCACCAATAAGAAATCTTAAAACTAATTACAATTTTAAAAATAAATTCAAAACATATCTTCTATATATCGCTCATCCAATAGAACAATGACGTAATTACAAAAAAGCAGAAATTTACATTTTGATGTCACAAGTTCCCGTTGCGGAAGTTCTTTTTATAGAAAAAACGACAGAATTGTTCTTACAGTAGTTTTCGATAGAGGGCGTGAATGTCGTTTGGGAATCGGCTTGGTTTTTGCATGGTTACGGAGAAATATCGGCGGATTTGACATTCGTGCGGGGAGCCCCGTGAAGTGCAAACGTGTTGGGACTTACAGCGACGTAAATGTAAGTTATGACAATCAATTTCTACATTATTGGTGCCACAATAACGCATTTGACAATTATGTCGTTGTGTCAACAAAACTGCAATTGAAAATCTTGTTATATATGACATAATTGCCAAATACGTTCTTGTTCTGACAAGTTCATAATATTTGTATACTTAGCATAGCTAATATTACGTTACAAAAATATGCACATATTTTAGTAGATAGAAAACAAGTAACATTATGTATTTTTAATATTCATATACATATTAGGTACGTTTATAATAAAATTATTTCTTTCAAAAAGTTAGGTCCACATTAATTCATAATTTGAAATAGGTATGTACCTATCTTTTATCTAAATTTTATCCTTGTTGTAAACGTATTATTATAATAATGACTAGGTATTAGTTTAATAATGGTTCAATTAGAGTATAATTTAAGGTATTGTTTTAGGTCATAGACGCAAACATGTCAAGGTCAAAAAGAATAGAGCAGATTGTAAAGTTGGGTCAGGAAGGACAAGTACCTTTACCATTTTCGTATAACGTAATTAGTGAATTACCATCAATGGATGAACCTGCGGATTTAAAAGGTAAGAAAATACATCTATAAGTGTCTACTTTTCTTCAAAATTGTGCGTATTTGTTGGGAATTAACCGTTTTCTACAATTATTTTATTTCATGGATGGAGGTCCGTATCTTTTTCAAATAAAATCATTGGGGTTAATCCCAAACAAATTTGAAATCTGTTGATCCTTTTTAACAGGCTTCAAAAAAGGAAGTTCTGTGTTCGACCTGTATGCATGTTGCCAGGTCTTAAAACCGAAAAGCCGGACATACCAGCCAGCTTAGCTGGACATTTTGGTAAAAGGCCGGACACCCTTAATTTTTTAGTGGACAATTTATTTTAAAGTAAACCAATGCTATTTATCATTTATCATAAAATAGTTTTGGAAGTCAGTGGCAAAAATATGAACAATACCAAAGCCTCCGACTTCCGAAACTAGAATTATTTTTTACTTTGTAGTATGTAATAATTATGTTTTTACAAGTTTTGACAGCGAAGCAAATTTTTGTTTACATAACAGCATTTATCAGAAGGGTTCTTATTTCAGCTGAAAAAGAAGGTGAACTCGGAAGTCTAAAACGGAAACGTTCTTCTTCGTCGACGTCTTCTTCTTCATCGTTGTCGTCTTACAGTAGTAGTTCATCATCAACTTCAACATCTTCGAGTTTACATGATACATCGTCAAAAGAAGGTAAGTAGATAAGTAGTATTTAATTATGGCTCGTTTCATGTAAGAGTTGTATTATTTTTATTCATTTTTTATTAAATAATGTTTTAGCAATAACAGAAATACCAGCCACCTCTGTCGATACGTTGAGAAGAGCTAAAGACAGTGACTACAAAGCTATAGGCATGACATTACCAATAGTATTAAATGTAGACAACAATAATCAATTTGAGAACCAAAACAATATTGAAGATGGTAAGGTTATGTACTAATTATCACTTGATTAATCATCTTAATCAATAAATACTTATTGCGCGTAATTATTTTTAGACGTTATACGTGATAATATAAGCTCACCTTCTCTGCTGGATAGCGTTGATAAGTTACATGCACCTCATGGAGAGAAACCAGTTGCTTCGCCACTTATGGACTTGTATAACCTTATCAATACCACGTCCTCTGCGGGTATGTATATTTTCACAAATTAAAATTATTTATTTATTAATTTTAGCTATTTGAGATTAATTTTCTTGTATTTATTTTAGACAAAGAAAACAATCCTCCTAATTCCGAAGATGAGCATTATGCTGATATCGACTTTTCGCCAGATGATAGTACCGACGAATGTCAGCCACCTCAACGACGTCATATTAGAAATATTAGTTTTTCACCGATTTCCAATACGTCTTCTTCTACTGTAGGATTTAATTCAGAAATAAGACATTCGCTAACACCAAAGAAGGGTAAAAAGCGTATTAGGAATCCACAGAAATGGAAAAAAAATATATCAAAAGAACTCAAAAACTCAGGGAAAGAGTACGTTTCTCGCACTGGAAAAAAGATTGATGCTAAAGTAATGATACCACCATGCAATTGTAGATTACAGTGCAGAAACCAATTTTCAGAGGATCAAAGAAGACAGATATTTGAAAGTTACTGGAACTTGGCTTCTATTCAACGACAAAGAGATTTTTTGTGCTCGTGTATCGAACCTTTGAATATTTTGTGCCGTCGTATTAAGAACGTTGAAAAACCTAGAACACCTAATTGCTCATTTTCATTTTTAAATAACGGCCGTAGTTTTAAAATTTGTAAAACATTCCTATTGAATACTCTAGGAATTTCTGAAAGGACTCTACGAACAGTAATTGAGGCAAAAAAATATAATTCAGGCATGGCTCCAAAAGACAATAGAGGTAAACATGGCCATCACAAAAAAACACCTAAAAGTACCTAATTTATACATTTAGGTGTCGATTTAAGTCTTATTTTAATTTAAATGTTATTTTAAGCAATACGTAAATCACATTAATTATTATTAGAGTAATAGATGAGTGATTACGTCAATTTAATTCATAGTACGAGTATTTAACTATTTTGTTTCTTTTAAAGATTTACAGTATCGTTTTAATTAAGACCATGACCGATGTTGTTTCATATGTAGGGTTTGTTATTTTTATAGATTTAATTCTATTATTTGATGCTATTCTTTTATATGCGCAAATAAAAACTATATTGAATATCTCTTTGTTTAAATTCATATTTTATTCTCCTCTCCAAACCACGCCTATATGTCATAATTGTATTTTTTATTTTTTATTTTTACAAAAATGGCATAAATGTATGTCCGATTTTTTGTATGGCATTTTAAATAAATTTTCTTGAGTTTTCATAGTAATTTATTATGAATAATTGTTGGTAATAAACTAACATACATTAATATTTAAAGATTTGATCAAAATTATTAAAACTACATTTATATTTTCAATTCCAAACTTTGAAAGTCTTCTCTTGAAAAATATCGAAAACGTAATTAAGTCGTTGTTCTGTTGGATGAGCGATATGATAAACAAAAACAAGGTATTCCCAAACACTTTGTTTGCCAGCTATAAACCACAGCATTTTTTGTTCCTACTAACTCATCATGGCTGTCTAAGCCTTTTATCGTACTTATAATTTGTACGCAATGTTACACACTTACGCGCCCCTTCAGTAATTTTACTAAATTAAACCCAAGATGCAAATCGTAGGGCTGAAAGGACACACCATTGAAATATACATATTGGCACTGATTAACTATTGTGCTCATTTTCTTCTCGTCATCTCGAGGGTAATAGCTGAAAATCAGTGTTTGCTCTCTGAGCAATATTAATCGCTAGGCTAGGACCCATTTGTCAAACTGCAATACACATGTACATTTAGATTTTAAGTTTTTGTAAATTATTTTCTTCGTAATATGTTACTTTGTACTTAGTTTAGTCACTGAATTTACGTGTGTGATTGGAGAAACAAATAAATGCTTTATCTATCTATCTATCACTCAGAAGCACTAAGGATCCTGACCCCAGCGGCGGTTCTGGTCTATGGCTCCACCGGCAATCAATATCCGGTTGCGGGGGCTAGGGAGAGCGACACCTCGCAATACCGTCACTCTACTAGCCCCGCGTTCCCACCACCACCGTTATCTTTTTTTATAGGAGAGGGGGCAAACGAGCATGCGGCTCACCTGATGGTAAGTGACTACCGCCGCTCATGAACAACTGCAATACCAAGGGAATAGCAGACGCGTTGCCGGCCTTTTAAAAAGGAGTACGCTCTTTTCTTGAAGGTTCCTAAGTCGTATCGGTCCGGAAAAATCGCAAGGAAGTTGTGCGACGGAGAAGAGTTCTTCTAAATCGCACAGTGTTGGACCGCCAATCATCCAGATGATATGAATGGTATCGCGAGTTTTGTCGTGATGTGCGATGGTGAAATTGAGCGACTGGAATTAGTCCGAACAATTTCTCAGAGAACTCCCCGTGGTAGATGTGATAAAATACGCAAAGAGATGCAACATCTCTACTCAGTGCCAGTGAGTCAAACTGATCGGAAAGAACTCCGTCGTCGACGATTCGAACCACTCTGCGCTGGATGCGGTTAATGGGAAGGAGCTGGTACTGGGGAGCACCTGCCCAGAGATGGGAACAGTATTCCATGTGAGGCCGAACCTGCGCCTTGTAAAGTTGCAAGCGGTGTGCCCATATGAAATACTATCCCGCTCTGTTGAGCACGCCAAGTTTTTAGAGACCAATTTGGCCTGCTCTTTCAAGTGACGACGAATCTGCACGTCACTTGATATGTCGACACCGAGGATACCGATACTCGCTGAGGCAACAAGGGGAGTGTCTTGAAACTGAGGAGATACGACAAAGGGGTTCCTTTTAGCGGTAAATGCGCAAACTTGTGTCTTCTAGGGATTGAACTGAACTAGATTTAGTCACCCCCAGTCTGAGACTTTGTTCAACAAAGTCTCGAGTTCAGACACAAGTTTGTTCCAGTACTTGGCGACGTTTTCCCGAGAAATATTGGCAAAGCCGGTGTATAAAGCATCACCAGTGCTGTCGTCTGCATAGCAATGAATGTTACTGGTTTGCAACATATCATTGATATGCAGAAGAAACAGCGTTGGCGATAGCGCGCAGCCTTGTGGAACACCAGCGTTAATGGTCTTGTAATCGGAGCATGCACCGTCTACTACGCCCTTGATGCTCCGATCTGCAAGAAAACTGGTGACCCAATTGCACAATTTCTCGGGAAGCCCATAGGAATGCAGCTTTGAAAGAAGCGCTTTGTGCCAAACCCGATCGAAAGCCTTCGCTATATCCAAACTAACGGCGAACGCCTGCCCCTTGGACTCCGCTGCCTCCGCCCATCTATGAGTTAGGTAACCTAGAAGATCACCAGCTGACCGACCTCGATGGAAACCATACTGGCGGTCACTAATCAGCTGGTGATCCTCAAGGTACCGCATGAGCTGGCTGTTAATAATGGTTTCCATTACTTTGGAGAACAAGGAGGTGAGAGCGATAGGCTTGTAGTAAACTCCGGAGCACACTTATTCAGCACAATAGGCGGGACACCATCAGACCCACTCGACTTGTTGACGTCCAGGAAGTAGAGTGCTTTACGCACCAACCGCTGTGTAAACAGCACTTCCCGCATGGAGCACTCACACCGCAGGATGGTCGGCGGTGTGTTCCCCCCGTCATCTAGAGTTGAGTTGGAAGCAAAAAGAGAGCCTAGCAGATCGGCTTTCTCCTTTGCGTCATGGGCTAATGAGTCGTCCACCCTGTGCAGAAATGACAGAGATAGCTGACAGAAGTTCCCTTGGACAGCCTTGGCGAGAGACCAGAATGCACGTGTTCCCGAAGGGAGGCGAACTAGTTTCTCGCCAATTCTGCTGATGTGCTCTGACTTTGCCTTGGCAATTACGCTTTTGAAGGACCTGGAGGCGGAATTATACTTCTTTTTAAGAGCGCTGGTTTTTACATCCTGGGACGTTGATGCTTCAGCCCAGGCCCGGTAGCACTGCTGCTTATAGCGTGATGTTATTTTACAGGAGCGACCAAACCATGGCTGGGATCTGCTCCCGATAGGCACCACAGAGGATGGAATAAAAATTTCCATACATTGAAGTACCACATCAACAACAGAATCGGCAACAACGCTGGGATCTTCAGGCGAGAAGGAAACCCGCCCCCAAGGGTAGGATGCAAAAAAAGACCGCATCCCGTCCCAATCGGCCGACCTATAGTGCCAAACACGGTGGCAAGCTGCAGATCGCAACTGCGATGGGAACTTGAGTGGCCGAAAAAGGCAATGGTCCGAAGAGCTCAGAGGGGCATCGACGGAGACCTGATATCCGTCCGGATAAAAGATCAGCAGAAGGTCCAACAGGGAAGGTACATAATCCTCCATATCTGGGATCCGCGTAGGCGAAGTAACCAGTTGTGTTAGACCATATGCCAAGGCAAAGTCATACACAGATCTACCCGCATAATCGGTTAAACGGGAACCAAGCGATTCAGCGTGGTGGGCGTCAAAATCACCAAGTATCACGATCTCTGCGGATGGGACCTGCACGGAGTCTGCAGCCATTTGGATGTGGTCGATGAATCGGTCTGTGTCGGCATTACCGCTATGGGACCTATAGAGACACCCGTAGACGCGGGGATGGTCGTCGCTGTCTACGCGCAGCCATAGGATGGACAAGTCCGTACCTTCAAGACTGCCGAGGCGTCGAAAACAGATGTCCTCTCTGACTTACACGCAAACTCCAGCCCGAGGCACAAAGGAGTGTTCAAATTTGTGCCCCGGGTAGGAGAGATATGAAGTATCAGCCGGAGAGGACACCTGAGTCTCGATTAAAAAGAGCAAGGCCGGCTTCGCCGTCTCTAGATCATAATGGACAGTGTTAAGGTTGGAATGAATTCCCCTGATATTGGAAAAATTCACGGATATCGTGAAAGGGGTCGCCTTGGTCTTATTGCTATGCTTGCCCAGAGCAGTATTAGTTACGAGCGGAATTATGCCCCCCCCCCCCATCGCCCTCCCCAGAATACGCGGGGTAGCCTGAGCACCCTCGCCCAGGAGTGGAGTAGTTTGGTCGTGGATGCTCAGCGAGGGATTCTCCAGGGTTGCTGGTACCCTCCTGGGGCAGACTATGATGTAATTCCGCTACCATGTTGATGGGGGGGGGGGGGGGAGAATCTCACCAAGCGCAACGCAGAGGTAAACCTCTACTTCACGCTGGTATTCTGTGAGGTCGTGGTACCACCCCGGTTCGAGCCGGCCCATCCGTGCGACAGCAAAAGCTGCCGCGTGGCTCTACCACTGTTAAAACTGTATCTGGCGTCTCGTCATACTAACTCCTCTTCCTCGGCTATTTCTTCTCGGCTGCGGCGGTAGGGGGAGAAGACACCCCTCTTGCTGTAGTCCACCACAGCTCACACATCCGACGAGCGGCCACCTCGGTCCAACCCTTGTCCTCGGATCAGCCATGTGGATTCCTCTTCGTTGACCATAGATGACCAAGCCACGGCTTCTGAGCCCCCCCGTCATGACATGGCGGCTCTCGTTAGGAAGAGTAGAAAAATGAACACTAACGCAACACGGCTCAGTGCCGTGCAACGCGGTAATGCTTCACTCAGTGCGACCACTCTGAAAGGAGACTACGGAGTATACGCGCAAGCACAGTTGTACTATCTACTTCATCATTCTCATAGCCCAATGGGATGGCAATCCGACTCGAACTAAGAGAGGTTAGGTGCAGAACCAACGACTTTATGTGTTATCTGAGGCACGGGGATGTAACACCGTCAACTTTCTGAAAAACTTGACAGAAAAACTCAATAATTGATTTTTTCCGACCCGAGATTCAAACGGCGGCGAGAGCGAGGCGAGAACATATGATCATTGTCACTTCAGTCTCGCTTATTTCCGTTGGACTAACTAATCAAATATAATGGTATTATAAATTTTTTGCAACTTCCTGTCATTCAATGGTATAATAATTAAGGTTGCCTCAAAATTCAGGAAATTATAATAATAAAAAGTGATCGCAATCGAATACGACAATCCGAATTGAAAACGACAAAACAAATTGTGTCGACTATTGCCGCACTACATATATATCTCCGCACATTAGGACACTACTTCAAGTGGCAACAATTTTTCGACATTTCTCTCTCTCACTCTCT